CCTTGGAGGGGTGAAGTTGTGGGCTGTGATATCGATGAGGACCTGAGACAAACAAATAATGAATAAAGTGGGAGAAACCAAACGTAATACAGTGAAAGATTGGTACAGACTTTTCTACGCTTATGCCAGTATTGATAACTACAGAGCAGGTGGCTGTTGGCAAGTATGTCAAAAATATTGCACTGACAACAAAATAATAGCACTGACAACAAGGCTATCAAGCCTCCTTGAAGGGGCTGTAATTTTGCAACAATGGCCAACTGCTGTACATTGTCCCACTTATTACACTGCTATGTAGCCAAATAAATAAATAGATAGATATTAAATACTGATTAAAGTTGAAATTATTTTAGTAGCTTATTTGCACAGACCGTGAAGAGCGCAGCTCTGAGAAACAATGGTTTCCCGGATGAGCGGTCAGTTAAACTCCACTGGCCAATCAGAATCGCTTATTCCAGAGCGTGCGTAATAAAATGCAACGTAATCTTCTAAACGCGCATCAGTCAATTTATCGATAAACACTGCCTTGATATCAAAATAATTCAATTGAAATCTAAAATGAAATACGATAAACATACAATAAAACATCATTTATTTTATTTAAATATTTAAATAATATTTATATAAATTTTAGTTTTGTTCTTGAAGGTTGTTGTGTTCCGCAAACCGATAAAAATCTCTTTTTTAAATGATAAATAACTCGACGTAACGTCTCCTGCAGCTAAGGTCATGTATAAAAAGCACAAACCACGTGCGGTTAGAAACAAGAGTAAGTTTACGCATCACTCTAAACAAATATGCCTTTTTGCATATGGAAACCACATGAAAGTGCTCATGGTCTGCACAGAAACTGATAAAAGTGCAAGCGGCTAAAAAAAATAAGCAAAACATTGTGAGTCTGGTACAGACAAACTGCTTGAAAACAGTCGAATAAACTTACAGGTGTGACTGGGAGCCATTGTGCTCGAATGAACGGAACTACGTCCTCTTTGTCTTCATTATAACTGCTTATAACCTCTAAATCAGAGTCGTCGTCGCTGCCCGAGCTGACACAAATAACATCCTCCATAATCCTGCCTCACCCTGTCCCATTAATCATGTTTGCGCTGACAGAGCACAGTCTTGAACAACAAACAACGAGTTCGTCCAGGCGAGAACATTAATCGTGAAATTATTGTTGTTTAGCTATTTCTTTCAAACAAGTCTCTCTGAAAACAAATAATCACGGAGGTAAATATCAATACTAGAGTCACATAGGAGGAAATGGTTTGGTTTCACTATTGTAGGATTTGACGAAGGAACTTCCGCGAGTGAAATGTTGTCGGTTTATGCGGAAGTGTGTTGGATTATGATTGAGAGCGATAGGTTTGTACCTTGTCTGCGTCTGAGTGTTTTTAGTTAAGCTGCACGCAGCCATAGATTCCCGTTAAAGCAACATTACAGTTACATCTGATTATGAGCTTCGAAGTGTGTAGATTGCAGAGCTTTATCGTCGGTCGGTTGGTCTGGCCGATATATTGGATGTGTCTCTCGAAGGTCGGCTACGGGGATGTAGCTCAGTGGTAGAGCGCATGCTTTGCATGTATGAGGCCCCGGGTTCAATCCCCGGCATCTCCATTTTTCTTACACTTTATTTTTTTGTTTGTTTGTTTGTTTGTTATATAACAGACTGTTGTCGAAGATCACGTAGATTTCTATATCATGCTGTCGATTAACATTTACATATTTATTCTTTTATCAAAAGATTTATCCAAAAGCAAGGAACATCACAAGCAATTTATTTTAAGAGCCAACAACATTTAAAGTACTGCCAAATTAGTGTGTGTGTGTATAGTTTACCAAGGCTGCATTTTTTTTGTTCAAAAATACTATACATATTATTACAATACTGTGAAATATTACAATTTTAAATAACTTTTCTATTTTAATATGTTTTAAAATATATTTTCTTCCTTTCAGTTCTGAATTTTCAGCTTATTTATTTATTTGTTTGTTACGCCAGTCTTCAGAAATCATTCTAATATGCTGATTTGCTGCTCAAGAAGCATTTTTCTTATTATTAGATCCACAGATTATCCGATGTTGAAAACAATTGTGCTGCTCAACATTTTTTATTATTTTTTTATTTTTTGGAAACCGGGATTTTTTTCAGGATTCTTTGATGAATATAATGTTAAAAAGAACAGCGTGTTCTTACTGTCACTTTTGATTAGGTAAATGTGTCCGTGGACTATTAATTTCTTTTAAAAACAAGTCTTACTGATCCCATACTTTTAAACAGTGAAATACAATACTTTTCTCTAAACAGAAGGATGAGTGACTCACTGGGAGTCTATCTTTTGTGGTATTAGTCAGAGGTGACCATAGTAAGAAATTCCAGTGCCGTCCCTTGTGAGAGCAAAGTTGAGGCCCATGTCTTGAGTGCACAATGAATATCTGTATTGCGGATTTCTTCTTTAGGCATCTCGGTTGTCTTGGAGACAAGAAACTTCACTTGGTCTTTTGTGCCTCTTGATCGCTCTCTTTTTGAACACACACTTCCATTCACAGATAAACTTCCTGCCTTGTGCATCTTTCTAAAAATACATCAAACACATCTGCCCCTCTAGGCTGCACACTTTGACCTGCGGGTCAAAATCATTAGCAGGACAACAAGGCAATAATGCATCCTTTGCTCATACTTCTCTCTCTCTCTCTCTCTCTCTCTCTCTCTCTCTCTCTCTGGAAAGTATTTTGGCCAGTTTGCAGTTCTCTTTGACAGGTTATATTCTAAGATGTTTACCAGATCAGGAGGTCAAGTTACACTATAAACATTCAGCACACGCCTCAGTTGCCCTTGTAGGTATGCTTTTCCAATCCGGCTATTCCCTTGGGACTCCCCACAGATTATCCAGCAAAAAAGACAGATAGCCTCTCTTGCTTTCTGTCATGATACAAGTTTGAACAAGTTAACCCCTGCACAGAAATGCCAGGATTTAATTAATTGTATATGTGCCAACAAACTTACATTTTTTAAATACAGAAATTGTCACAAAGAAGTTACCTGATATGTCATAGTAGACCAAATAGCAACAATGCATTTAGCTAGATCTGTTCAAATACAAATTTAATTAATAGTATATGTGCCAACAAACTTTTACATTTTTTAAATACAAAAATTGTCACAAAGAAGTTACCTGATATGTCATAGTAGAATTTTCATTGTCATTTAGCTAGATCTGTTCAAATCTTCGTTTTTAATTTTTTTTGTAATCCTTTCATTAAGAGGATTTAATCCCAACATATCCACAACTACACACAAGCCCAAAGATAAAGTGAAACCCTAAGTTGACTGAGATCTCACTTTAAAGGATGCATATATAAATATGTAAATGTCCTTATACTATATGTTTAGAATCACTTTAGTGTTTCATCCGTTATTTAAATCTAGGAGACATTTGAGTCATTTGCATATGAAGTATAGGAAATTTGATAGAGAGTGGATGGACATGTGCAACTAAGCATGTATCTAAATCTCCTCGCTGGATATAAAGAGGCTTTTTCACACTGGTATCTTCCAAGCACAGAGAGAGAGAGTGAGCAAATGCCGATGCACTTAGCAGGGGTGGGTGGGTACATTATTGAGGGGGTATTAGGAGTCCATTGTGAAAGTGCAGATGCAGAAAGGGGTATTCCATAACTCTTCTTTTCCATGCCCCATGCCCCATTCCCCATCCCTCGTCTACTCTTCCAACCCGACGTCTCCCACATTTCTTTAATGAAATGACACCAGCTAATTTAATTTCTTCCTAGTCACATCTGTTGTGCTTGTCCCCTTTTCCTTTAAATTGAAACACATAAAACCTCTGTAGCCTCTTCATCCTTTTCTCTTTGATACTAGCCATCTGCAATTCAATCACACAGCATTACAACCAAAGCAGTCAGCAGTGTAGTCAAGGAAATTATTTTAGGACTGAAAGAAGTCCTCACTTTTAATGAGATTGCACTACAGATTTAATTGATCCTCTTATATAAAGTTGTTTAGAATACTATAGAACACAATCATGTATAATAACCATTAAATGACCTCCAAATTGTGCATTTACAGTGCTGGCATCAATCCTACAATTCCTCAACACAAGAGAGGCCACCATCTCTGATTCAGCAAAGATGACGTCATTGAAATCACTTGACTAAGGAGGACTGAGATTTGCATATCTCTGTCAACAGAATTGGTTTCATAGTTCTACTATTCCAAGCAGATGATGTATACACTCTCAGTATGATGGCGATGTTTTGGACAGTGGTTGTCTTCTATATATATATATATATATATAAATGTTCTTTTAAAAACTTTTATTTTTTTTATTGTTGAGTATCATATTCTATACATCAGACTTTGCTGGCTCATATAGTATGACATAAGGAAAATATGGAGCTCCTTCTAATTCAGGAGCCCACACTGAACAAAAATATTTGGAGCAGTTGCTTACATTTTTATGATCAAAGCATTGCACTTTTTATTGTTGTGGGTAAAACATAATGCAATGCAATACAATGATGAATGAGAAATTCTTCAAAAGCCTGGTGTATCATATCTGATACATTTTAACATGATTTAAAAGAAATGATGATGTATAGATCAAATGTATAGATGTATAGATCAAACCAAAGTTGCTTCAGTCCAGTAAGTTCATTTTGCAAAATTATAACAATATAAAAGTTATTACAGTTAAATCAGTAAAGATTTCACAGCAAAAAAGCCACATTCACCAAAATCTGAAGGTAGATGTTACTGAAAAGCCTTTTATTTGCTAAAAAAAATTATAAATTATCAATCAGATGACAGAAGATAACATATTTTTCAGCAAAATTTTGACCATGTTGATAATTTAGAGGCCTCAGAAATTTGCACATCAAATATGATACTGTAGACCTTTAAGCTAATAGGGTTCAGTATCAGCTCATATATATATCCAGTATATTGATAATAACTTAATTCAACATGTGCACATTTACACACAGCAACGGAGGGCACAGATCTGTTCACGGTACTGGTGCATGAGCTTGGTCACGCCCTCGGACTGACCCATTCATCAGCACGCCAATCTGTAATGCGTCCATACTACCAGGGGCCACTAGGAGACCCGTTACACTTTAGCCTGGGACACCATGACCTTCAACTCATCACAGCCCTTTATGGTAACTGTCATTAAACGCCTTGTTTGGTATCTCTGTTTGGCAATTGTAGCTCATAAAGACTCAAAGTATCTATTCTGCATGTGTGTCTGTTTATGAATTCAGGTAAGAGGGGTAACCATGTTCCAACGGACAGACCTCTTCTTGTGACGGAAGCTCAATCGCGTCACAGACATGGAGGAATACACCGGCTCACACACATGTACAGACATGCTCACAGCCATTTGGACAGGTAAGAAAGAATCAAGTAAAACTTTTGAATTGCACATCAAATCAAAACTGAGATTATATACACAAATTCTGCACAAATAATGCTGGAATACACTACATATAAACAGATTTGTAGGAGTAAATGGAGAAAAACTGAACATCAAATGACCGAAGATCACACACTACCAGACTTTCAAGTAGTGTGAAAACTCAAGCAGAAACATGAGATTCATTGATAGGAGGCGCATGACAAATACAATATGTGTTCTAACATGGGCTAAAAATATCAGACATGTTTGATATTTGAAATCTGTCAGCTCTGACTGCCTAAAATTTGTAGACTGGCTCTGATTTTCGGCAAGAAGTATTGACTATAGACTGCAAATCTGAGGAAATATGTGGCCAAGAGTCATGTGTATTCATGCTTTAACTTGTAAATACATTAGTTTGTAGAAAACTGATTCAGACTGACTTTAAAGGCAAAAGATGTTTAAAGGGATAGTTCACCCAAAAATGAAAATGATGTCATTATTTTTAACAGTTGCTGAAAGCCATTGACTTCCAAAGTATTTTTTTCCCATACAATGGAAGTCGATGGCTACCGTCAACTGTTTGGTTACCAATATTCTTCAAATTGTCTTCTTTCATGTTCAACTCATACAGGTTTAGAACAACATGAGAGCAAGAAAACAATACCAAATATTCAAAGTCATGTTTCTTAGTTGTTTTATTTTTTATTAACCAAAAGAAGTTTGTTAAAATGTTCAATGTATTTTAATTAAGAGAAAAATAATTTGAAATGTCTCTCTTTGTCTCAAGTTCTGTGGATCGCTGTAACACCAGTTTTGATGCAGTTGCCAAGATTCGAGGAGAGATCTTCTTCTTCAAAGGTAGATACTTGTAGCTTGAACGGATTTAAGGAGTTATTTGATTTGTTAACAAAAACACTTCCTCCACTTGTAGTGTTGTCATCTTCTTAGTCCTCTTGTTATTGCTATACAACACACTGTATCCATCCAGCCAGTATCACCATATACAGTAACAGTACAAAATATTTATTTATATTTCTCCTATGTCTCTCATACCTTTCCTCATGCATTTTGCAGGGCAGAACATGTGGAGAGTGAGCAGAGGTGGTCTGGTGTCAGTCAGGGCTGTTCCTGTACAGAGACTTTGGTCAGCACTTCCTTCTACACTGCCTCCACTGCGAGCGGTTATGGAAAGACACACAGATCATGCCATCATCTTTATCAGTGGTCAGTTTCCCAGCACAATCACATCACAAACCCATGCTGAAAATAAAAAAAATGTCCAATTCAAAAACAAAAATTCATGCTGAATTCCAATTGTGCACCACACTTTTGAGAGTTAATTTATGTAATTTAAAGAGATTTATTTTACTTGGCCATAATGCAAAGAATAAAAATATTGCAGAGGCTAAGTGTAAATTGGGTAAATAGCAGAGGTGTAAAGAGTACCTGAAAACCATACTGTATCTGTAAAAGTACAGATACCTTACAGTGAAAATTACTCCAAGTTACAAGTCTCAGCAAAATCCCCAGAGTTAAATCAACTCTGCTCAGAGTACATATTGTCCCAATCTACAGAGTGTTAAAGTAACACTGAAGCCGAGTTAAAGTTAATGGGATAATTAAGCAATTAATTATTTGATGAGTGAGCATTAGTAAAGAAAACCCGCTGTTAACAATACTGAAGATGTTCAACTACTGCTCAGGCTTTTAGACATAAAAACGTATCACATAATCCTCAACAGTGGTTACTCTGCTTCAGTGTTACTTTAACACTCTGTATGGGACAATATGTACTCTGAGGAGAGTTGAACTAACTCTGGGGATTTTGCTGTGCACCAATTCCAAAACAACTTGAGTAAAAGTATGATTTTAACAGTTTTACTTAGCTGTATTAAATATAGGCTCAAAGATGCACTAATCAAAGAGACATGCCAGTGAAAAACAAGAAAGAGTTGATTTGTGAGGCGAGCAATCACGTTTATTTTCTAAAACCAAAATAAAACTCAACACCTCAAAAATATAATGGATAAATAAAATAAGGTTAAGTCAAATTAAAAAGTCAAAGCCTCCTTGCACTGGATGTGCTGGTTTCAGCCTCATCGCCGGCTGCAGTCATGTCCTCATCTCATATATAAAACACCTGTGATTCACAACTACTTGCTAAGGAACTCGCATTCACATACGTATAGCCTTGTTGACAAGTTTGGGTGAGTAAGGGCAAAACACACAAGATGTAGTACTTTCAGTGCCCTGTAGTTGGCTATATTTCTTCTTTTGTAGCAGAAATAAACTGCTGCAGAAAAGCTAGGTGCCATGCAAAATGTAATGTGTAACTGCAATACTCATTTCAAATGTGGTGGAGTAAAGAGTACAGATGCTTATTCAAAAATGTAGTGAAGTAGAGAGTAAAAGTTGCTAATATCTTTGATACTCAGTAAAACTACAGAGTATACAAAAAGATACTCAAGTACAGTAATTAATTACATTTACTCAAATACTTTACACCTCCATTAAATAGTAGTAAAATACAAAATGTAAACAGTAGTAAGAGGCTATTTTCACTTAGTGTATTGAATGCTATTCATACTTATAGGCAGATGCTATTTGCACCATAATGTATTGTTGTATATTTATAAAACAGCATGCAGTATACTCATTCAACATATTCAGTGAATATATTTATTATAATCATAAATGAGTGCTGCCTTATTGAGACCTTTAGTAATTTTGTTATATGCTTTTGTATTTTTATTTAACTATTTCTGTTTAGATATAATTTAATTTTTATTTTAGTTTTTATTTATTTCGATTTTAGTCATTTTAGTACTTCAAATTATTTCAGTTAGTTGCCAAGGCAAAATTTCTGACATTTTATTTTATTTTTTTTACGTTTTTCCATCTAATTGAATATATTTATATTTATTATAATCATAAATGAGTGCTGCCTTATTGAGACCTTTAGTAATTTTGTTATATGCTTTTGTATTTTTATTTAACTATTTCTGTTTAGATATAATTAAATTTTTATTTTAGTTTTTATTTATTTCGATTTTAGTCATTTTAGTACTTCAAATTATTTCAGTTAGTTGCCAAGGCAAAATTTCTGACATTTTATTTTATTTTTTTTACGTTTTTCCATCTAATATTTAAATTTTATTTTATTTCAGATTTATTTCAATAAAAAAAAATAGTTTTATTTAATAGTGACAGCACGGTAAAAATATGAGCTGCCAGAACATACTGTTCAGTTGATGAGCCATCCAATTTCCGATCTGTGATATGCAAAGAATGGGATCAGTAAAAGGCAGATTCAAAATTCGAGTTGATCCACTGTCCTTACTCTACACACCACTATTCCTGTTACCAGATGGGTTTCTTTTCTTTATTTTGTATGATGGGCAGAGCTAGAGTAAATAGCCTTTGCCAACAAGATAGGCTATTTGCACTTAGTGTAAATAGACACGTTATTAAAAATACCTTATATTTTCAAGTAAAACACATTTTCAGATCATTTCTACAACCTTGCTATTTTTATGTGCAAGTGATCATCAGTTGACACCAATGACTTGACACCACTCTACTTAAAGTAAACTACTAAACATACATGTGCAGGTTCCCAGGTTTGGTTGTTTAAGGATCTGTCTAGTTTTATTTAATAGTGACAGCACAGTAAAAATATGAGCTGCCAGAACATACTGTTCAGTTGATGAGCCATCCAATTTCCGATCTGTGATATGCAAAGAATGGGATCAGTAAAAGGCAGATTCAAAATTCGAGTTGATCCACTGTCCTTACTCTACACACCACTATTCCTGTTACCAGATGGGTTTCTTTTCTTTATTTTGTCTGATGGGCAGAGCTAGAGTAAATAGCCTTTGCCAACAAGATAGGCTATTTGCACTTAGTGTAAATAGACACGTTATTAAAAATACCTTATATTTTCAAGTAAAACACATTTTCAGATCATTTCTACAACCTTGCTATTTTTATGTGCAAGTGATCATCAGTTGACACCAATGACTTGACACCACTCTACTTAAAGTAAACTACTAAACATACATGTGCAGGTTCCCAGGTTTGGCTGTTTAAGGATCTGTCACTCCAAGAGGGTTTCCCTCAGCCTCTGTCTACTCTGGCTCCTGAGGACTCAGAAGGAGGGTGGCAAGGATTGCACTGGGACCCAAAGCAGGGTGTGGTGTGGGGGTCTGTGAGAGAGGATGGAGAGCAAGGAGAGAAAAGCGAAGTCTGGAGAGAGCTCATTGAAGAAGGAGTGAATGGAATCATCATGGAGAATGCCGATGAGAGAGAAAGGACTGGGGACTTTAAGGGTGTGTTGCTTCAAAATCATTAGTTAAAATATATAAATACTACTGCATTGCATGGGAATGTATGTGTGACACTGTTTTAGAGCGCTACTGATTTACTTATTTTTTTTATTCTCTGTATCAATCAGGTTCAACCTATCTTTTCAAAGGCAATTCCTACTGGAAATTTACTCACCCAGGCTCCGCCCCTGAAGAAGGATACCCTCGGATTCTGGCCACTGATTGGTTGGACTGCCCTCAGCCTTCCTCTTACAGCCCCCGTGACATCTCTTTGATCTCCCACTACGGTCAACAGGAGCTTCGTGAGCAGAAAGGGCAAAGAATAATCGACCAGATCAGGCACAATGACAAAACCGAAAGAGATAAACCTTATCGCTGGGACTGTCCATGTCTAAACAGTGCAGTGACTCAAAGTGGACCTATTTTACTGCCCATTTTATTTCTGATCACTGGGACTTGTAATCCATCACTTTAATTTTTTCCACATCCAAGTTTACATAGTCATACCCCAAAATAAAGTTTTCCTTGACTTTCAATCTCTGACCAAAGGAAGTGACTACAATAGTTGGTAAGAAGATTTCTAACAACCACTAAACATTAATGATTTACAGTTCACAGAGTCTGTCAGCTCACTAAAGATTTTACTAAAGACGGCAAATAATATTGTGCTAGAGTTTAAAAGTATAACAATATATACATGTAGTATTTTGATTCTGAAGATGTAGAGAGCAAATGTCATAAAATGACTTGACCATAAAATGTCATAAAATGATGTTCAAAATGTGATTTATTCATACATTCCCTTATTAAAATAGTTTGAGAATTTTGATTAATCATGAAGTGCATATAAAAATGACTGTGCTTGTCATACACTTGGGAATTACCAATGTACTTTTATAAGATAATGTACTACTGTGGGAAGGATGGTCAAATAACGACAGATCAGTAATGTATCATTTACAGAAAAAAAACTATTATAATAAAATAAAAAT